TACCACTTGAGCCACAGCGCCACTTCTGGCTTTTTTCTTTTTGTTTATGTGGTGCTGAGGAATCGAACCCAGGGCCTCGAGCATGCAAGGCAAGCCCTCTACCACTGAGCCACCTTCCCAGCCCTGTCCTCTTCTCTCTTGATCCTGGTGCTTGACAAACTCAACTTACTCTTCAAGTCTAGATATCCCTCCCTCCATCCCTTTCTTCCTTCCTTCCTTCTTTCCTTTCCTCCTTCTCTCCTTCCTTCCTTCCATCCTTCCTTCTTTCCTTTCCTCCTTCCCTTCCTTCCTTCCTTCCTTGCCTGTCTTTTCTTTCCTTCATTTCCCTCCTTCTTTCTTTCTTCCTTCCTTCTTTTCTCTCTCCTTTCTTTTTCTCTTCCTTCCTTCCTTCTTTCTGATGTCTGTCCTGGGGCTTGAACTCAAGGACTGGGCACTGTCGCTGAGTGTTCAAGGCTAGCACTCTACCACTCTGTGGAAGTGAGCCACAGCTTCACTTCCAGCTTTTTTTTTTTTTTTTGAGGTTTAGTGAATATAAGAGTCTCATAGATTTTCCTGCCCATGGTGGCTTCAAACCTTGATCCTCTGATCTCAGGCTCCTGAGTAGCTAGGATTAAAGGTATGAGCCATCCTGGCCAGATGTCCCTTTCTTTGATGAGCCTTCTCTAACCCCCTCTAATCTGCTCTGGTAGCACTGCACTGGGTCAGAGACATCCTTTTTCTTCAGCTCCTACACTGACTTGTAAAACAGCTGTCTTTGCCCGTTGGTCTCCCCATTTCCCTACCCCCATGGCAACCCTAGACTGTGAGCTCCTCAGGACAAGAGGACTGGGGTTGACCCTCTGAATGTCCCCAGCATCTCCAATCCAGGCTGGACACAGAATAAAGCTCAGAAGAAAATGAGAGATGTTGTGTGCTTCGGAATCTATAAAGCTCCATCCCATCTGTGTTCTTATTCTCTTCTAATTCCAGTTACAAAATGTCTGAAGTTATAGTGGTCTCAGGCTTCAGCCCCTTGAATCAGAGTTATAACCTGACCAGAAGCTATCCTGGCGACCCCTGGGACCAGGGATCCAATGTGCCCATCTAATCTCAGTTCTGTCAGTTCAGCCAATACTGAATGCTAGTCCTGATGGAGTTTAAGACCTGTGAGGGATGCTACAGATTCCCCAGCCTGATGGAGGAGGCAGATAAGTCACCAAAGCTAGAGAAGGTAGCAGGTGGAGGCTCAGGAGAGGGAGAGGTCTTTGCCCTTGAAGAGTCCCTGACTACCTTGGGAGAGCTTGGATCAGGCCATTCCTCTACCCTGAAGGACATTTGTCAGTATCACTTTGGTAGTGTCACTTTACTATGGGGTAGGCCAGTAGGATGGAGGGTTTGAGCAAGACAGGAAGAGGCCTACCTTCATTTCAGGAAGCCAAGGAAGAGATTAAATACTGGGGGCCGGAGCTGGGGACTCTGGGAGCCAATTTGGCACCCAAAATATTCTGAGATCATCACCCCTGGTGGGGCTGGAATACCACACAGGCTCCATCCTCCGCCGCTGGAAGAGGAACTGGTTCGCCCTGTGGATGGACGGAACCCTGGGCTACTACCATGACGAGACGGCGCAGGATGAAGAAGACCGTGTGCTCATCCACTTCAACGTCCGAGATATAAAGGTCGGCCAAGAGTGTCATGGTGAGCAGAAGCTCTTCCTCTATAGCACTGTGGCCTTGGGCATCCTCTCTCCTCCATGCATTTAGAAGGCTCTCTGCCACTCTCAGAATGCTTCCACAGGTACCATTTCTAGGCCTTCTAGGTCAGTTAGCTGAGGATCAAGAAACTGCTGAGCTCCTACCCTGTGCTGTGTCTCAGAACAGTCCTTGCTCTCTAGGATGAAGATGAATTGAGATAAAGAGGCTCAGAGAAGTTGAGTGAGTAGTCCAGAGTCACATAGCAAATCTGATTTTTTCAATCAAGTCTCAGGCCACAATAACAGAGTAACTGAGAGGTGCTCAGGAAGCCAATAATATGGAAATGTCCAAAAGATTTGAAGAGTTCAACAGAGCCCACTGTGGGTGGCTCATGCCTGTAATCCTAGCACTTACAGGAGTCTGAGACCTAGAGGATCATGGTTAGAAGCCAGCCCAAGCAGAAAAGTTTTTGAGACTTCATCCCCTATTAACCAGCAAAATGCCAGCCTGGAGGTGTGGCTGACATGGTGGGGGGAGCCAAACACTGGTGGCTCATGTATGTAATAATCCTAGCTACTCAGGGATCTGAGGACCTTGGTTTAAAGCCAGCCCAGGCAGACAAATCCATGAAACTTTTTTTTTTTTTTTTGGCGGATCCTAGGGCTTGAACTCTGGGCTTAGGTGCTGTCCCTGAGCTTCTTTTGCTCAAAGCTAGCACTCTACCCACTCAGGCCACAGTGCCATTTCTGGCTTTTTTTGAGTAGTGTATTGGAGATAAGAATCTCATGGACTTTCCTGCCTGGGCTGGCTTCAAACCACGATCCTTAGATCTCAGCCTCCTGAGTAGCTAGGATTCCAGGCGTGAGCCACCAGCGCCCGGCTTAACCAGTAGGACAACCTGAACTGGAGATGTGTCTTAAGTGGTAGAAAAGCAGCCAGGAGTGAAAAAGTTGAGTGAGAGTGGGGTTTTGAGTTCAAGCCCCAATACTGGCAAAATGGGGGGGGGGAGAACACAACACAACAAGACTCCAAAGAAAGCGTGCAGGTTCAGAGGTTAGCAAGGACCAGTGAAGAGGACTCAGAGCAGTGAGAAACTACTTTTTTTTTTTTGAGATAGGGTCTTGCTATGCAGTCTCTGGTTGGCCTTAAACTGCATAGCCTAGGCTGGTTTCTATCAATTCCTACTCTTGTTGCTGGTTTCCTAGGGTGGGGCCCTGGCACCTGTGCTCATGGAAACACAATGTATGTGTGTCTTCTTCCAGATGTGCAGCCCCCAGAGGGCCGGAGCCGAGATGGCCTGCTGACCGTGAACCTACGGGAGGGTTCCCGCCTGCACCTGTGTGCAGAGACCCGAGATGATGCTGTGTGAGTGGCTTTGGCGAGAAGATAGGGTAGGGTCTTGGGGAACACAAGATAGCCCTCCTCATTGCCTCTTCTGGTGCTCTGATGGTAAGAAGAGCAGACAAAGTCCAGTGAACAAGCTTGTGTCGTCAAGGCTGGCAGAGGGATGTGAATGGCTCCTGACGATTGGTGTGGCACACAGTGGTCCCTTGTGTGCACGCCAGCCTGGTCCCGGGTATCCAGCCCCATGGGAGGTGAGCCCAGTGGCTTCTCCAGGGACCTCAGGGCTAGATCCAGACTTGCCTGCAGACACAGCTGATTGTGTTTAAGGCATGGGTACCCCACTATCAGATGCTAGAAACCTCCAGATCCTCACATTCTCTCCATTCCTACCCTCTGGCCTAGCTACTTGGCCTTACACTGGAGGAGAGGGAGAGATGAGTGTGGGAGCGGGGCAAGGGAGCTCTGGGCACATCGCACAGAGCCGCCTTGTCCTCCCCAACCGGTTGCTATGGCAACCAATAAAGGGCCAATTGTCCCACAGCCACGGGGCATTCCTGAGACCCTGGGGTCAAAGCTTTGGAAAGCTGTTTGTAGGATTGGGGTGTGGAGGTAGATTACACTAGAACACCCACTTACACAGGTCAGAATGGAAAAGCCCCTAAGAGACACCCCCCCAATGCAACTGTACAGAGGGAAAGAGACTGTGGTCCAGAGTGCCTCAGCCTAGCTTCAGGTCCGTTCCCATGATGGGGTTAGGGATGATCACTTTTGTCCACTTGAGGGAAGGTGGGAGACTGGGTTGGAGAGAAGAGTCTAGAACATGGAAGGCCCCTCTGCCCCCCCCAACTGCCCTTTCCTTGAACTCCTTCTTCATAATCTGGGCATTTGCTTTGCAGAGCATGGAAGACAGCGCTGCTGGAAGCGAACTCCACCCCGGTGAGCCCCCTCCCCCTCTGCTCCCCCTGCCACCCTGTGTGCCATGGAATCATGGGTGACTCAGACTCGGTCTTCTTCGTCTAGAGAGGCTTGTGCAGACTCGAGCCCCTGGAGGCCCCTGTGAGAGTGTGCACAAGCCAACTGGGGCTCAGAGGAGGGAGGAGCATCAGGTCAACTTCGCCAGGCGAAGCACAGGAATCATTCCTCATGACAGTCCCCTGGGACTGGGATTATTGTCACCCTCAGCAGCTGGTAGGACTAACGTTCATTCACCTGCACAAGTATTTACTGAGATCCTACTATGTATCAGGCACTTGGGCCAGAAATCAGAAGTGAGCCAAAGGGAGGTGGGACCTGTCCTCCTGGAATGAGCTTAAAGAGAAGAGCTTTATGTGGCACAATTAATTTACTTAGTTAACAATTCCATTTCAGTAGCTAATAACTCATACCTGCAGGATGTGACCCCTTTGGTGATTTGATCCCAGTGCGTGTTTAGATGAGGCTCAAGGGGAGACCTGAAGGATAAACAGAAGTTGGATGAAAGGTGTGGGGATGAGGCGAAGGGATTAGCTTTCAGGCAGAATGCTCAACACGTGCAAAGGCCCTGGGTAGGGGTTAAGATGTTGGCAAGTTGAGGAACAGAAGGGATACAAGAACAGTTGGAGCTCAGAAAATGAGTAGTAGGCAGTGGGGGAGAGCAGGTGGGGCCAGACCTTGTGGACTGTTTAAGGATATTGGTTTCTGCTACGAACACTAATAGGCCACTGGGTGTTTTTAAACAAAGGAATGGCATGATCAGATCGATCACACTAGTTTTCTTCTCCTTCTCTTTCTCCTTTCTTGCAGTATTGGGGATTAAACTCAAGGCCTCATGCATATGCTCTACCATTTGAGCAATATCCCCAGTCCTTTTGCTTTTAGTTTGTTTTTCAGATAAGGTCTTAGATTAACTTTGCCTGGGCTGGCTTCCAAATAAGATCCTCTGGCCGGGCGGTGGTGGCTCACGCCTGTAATCCTAGCTACTCAGGAGGCTGAGATCTGAGGATCGCAGTTCAAAGCCAGCCCAGGCAGGAGAGACCGTGAGACTCCCATCTCCAATAAACCACCAGAAAACCGGAAGTGGCGCTGTAGCTCAAGTGGTAGAGCGCTCGCCTTGAGCTGAAGAGCTGAGGGACAGCGCCCAGGCCCAGAGTTCAAGCCCCATGACCGACAAAAACAAAAAACAAAAAAACAAATAAGATCCTCTGTCCCAGCCTTCTAAATAGCTGGGACCAAAGGCATGCATTTGTATTTTTCAGAGCAGTCAGAACACATATGATGGTACACATTTGTTTGTTTGTTTGTTTTGTCTTGGTCAGCCATGGGGCTTGAACTGCACCTGGGTGCTGCCTTGTGCTCTTCAGCTCAAGGTGAGCGCTCTACCACTTGAGCCACAGTGGCACTTCCAGTTTTCTGGTGGTTATTTGGAGATAAGAGTCTCACATACATTTCTGTCTGGGCTGGCTTTGAACGGCGATCCTCAGATCTCAGCCTCCTGAGTAGCAAGGATTATAGGTGAGAGTCACTGGTGCACAGCTGGTGATGCACATTTTAATCCTAGCCTTCTAGAGGCTGAAGCTGGACAGTAACACGTTTGAGACCCTGTCTTAAGAACAACAGCCAAAAACAACTAACCAAACACACACACAAAAAGTCAGTCTGTCTGGTTGGTAGAGAATAGATTGTAGGGGGATAACAACGGACACTTAGAGACCAGGTCAGAGGCTGGGACAGTGTCCAAGAAACAGGTGTAGCCTAAGTTCTTGCTGGTAGAGACAGGCTGTTGATCACAGGACATACTTAGGAAATGCAATCAAGAGAGCTTAGTGACTGGAGGTATGGTTTTGAAGAGGTGCTGGGCCCAGCATGGCCCAGACTCCTCTTGTCAGACGGATTCTATGCTTGTTCCTTCTACCTCTCCCATCTGAAGAGAAACACTCCATGTAGCAGAGGATCCAGAGATGCATTTAGAAACACCTGCAAGGCACCCACCTGCTCAGCACCTGGCATCATTTTGTCATTTCATCCTGGTAGGGGAGGGTTGGGGGGAGGCAGCTGTTATTAATCTCATCTTATAGATGGGGAAGGTGAGATTCAGAGAAGGAAGTACCTTGGTCAAATTCTTACAGGTTTAAGTCAGTAGAGGAGCCTATATTAGAGCCATGGAAATGAATTATTATTTTCATTTTTTTGGTGCTGGTCTTTGGGCTTGAACTCAGGGTCTGGGTACTGAGCTTTTTACTCAAGTTAGCATTCTGCTTACTACTTGAGCCAGCTTCTCTCCTGTATTTTGGTGATTAACTGGAGAAGAGTCTCACAGACTCCTGCCCAGGCTGGCTTTGAACTGCATTCCTCCAATCTCAGCCTCCTAAGTAGCTAGGAGTACAGGTGTGAGCCACTGGCACCTGGCTTAGGCATGGGATTTTGAGAGGAGGCCAGCATCTGCATAAGGAGCTGTGTGCACAGAGACAGGAAAAGGATGTGTGGGCATTTGTATGTGAGTGGATGCGCATGTGTGTGCATGCATGTGCATGTGTGCTTCCACGGGCCTGGAATCTGGCCTGGCTGGCTGGTTTAACATGTAGGAAATGACATCAGAGAGATGATCTCTAAAGTGAAAGGGCCTGGTCATAAGGACTTCAAATTCTAATTGGTCTTTTCCTGAGGGTTGTAGAAGCAGTGAGGGGCTTTAAGCAGGGAAGGCTGTGGTCAGACATGGCAGGGGTGGGGAGTGGGCAGGCTTGCAGGTGGAGAATGGATCAGAGGAAGTCAGGGCTGAGAACTTTGGAATAGTGATCTTCAGTGGAGAGGTTGGGCTCACCCAGCTTTGAGTTTGAGTTCCCTTAAGCAAGGCTAATCAGTCCCATGAAGACAGGCAGAAGGAAGGAAGGTGAAGGCTGACCGTTCTGCACTCTGTGACTCTATGAAGCTGCCCTGTTCCTTCTGTGTCTGTCCACTACCCACTGCTGTACTGACCACTTCTCTTGGCCCTGCCCTCAGCCCTTCCTCCTTCTGTTCCTCATGTTCACATCCCTCTGGGCCGGGGCAGGCTACAGCAGGTGTGTTTGCACCTGTGTCTCAGTACTCACAACTGCCCACCTCTGTGTGTCTGTGGCTCTCTCTGCCCCTGTGCCTACGTAGGAATGAGCTACACTTTCTTCTTCCTCATGCTACAGGCTCATACCCTACTCTGTCTGGAGGCTCCAAGAAGAGTCCAGTCCCTGACCCTAGCAGTACCAGAGCACGCAGCCAGGGACAAGACTGGGTGGTAGTGGTGGTGGAGGCCAGGGTGGGCAAAAGGACAGATCAGGGCAGCCTGGGCATGCCAGCTGCATGAAAGAGGAGAGAGGGTGGGCCGCAAGAGGCTACTGGACCTTTTTTGCTTTGTCACTTGAGCAGTTAGCCGTATCCCCTCCATTTGAACCTCCTGCCACCTTCACATTGGGCCTTAGAGAAAGAAGATACACTCCTGCTCCAGCCCAGCTGGCAGAGGGGCTGGTAAGAGCTCTGAGTCTGCAGGTATAAAGGGCCTGACTCCTTCCTCCCTCCCTCCCCTCCTTCTTGGGTTTCTGTGGCTTGAGCAGGCCCCAGCTGGAGCCACGGTCCCACCCAGGAGCCGCCGGGTTTGTCCCAAGGTCAGGTGTGTGACCCGCACGTGGAGCCCCTGTAAGGTTGAGAGGCGGATCTGGGTAAGTGCTGGCTCGGTCCTCCTTGCCTCCACTCTGGCCACCAGGATGAGCCTCCCACATTGCCTGTCCCATCCCCTTCCTGCTCACAGACAACCCACGTCTCCCCTTTGCTCACAGGACACCAACCACAGCCCAGCTTTCAGGATCCAGGTTTTCTGCTACCTCCTCTCCCCGCTGTGCTCTACCCAGTCTGCTCTACCTTCCTGTTCCACATTCCAGCCTCTACCAACTCCAGTCATGGTACATGTTCCCTCTGCTGCCAAAACCCTTGGCTCCCTCATTCACATGACAAACTCATGCTCAACTTTGAAGCCCACTCACAGGCTGCCACCTCCTCCGGGAGAAATTTCTAGATTTCAGGCACCACGTCTCCCTCCCACAGCCCAGAACATGAATGCTTAGTTAGTACTGGCTTCATTCTGCTTGGCTTCAAGGTCATTGCAGTCTCCTCTGATCTGGAACTTCCTCTGAGACAATGACCAGGTCTGCTTGGCTCTGTTCCTGGGAGCCTGGCTCAGGGTTGGGTGTGCAGCAGGTGCTCAGTTAGTGCTCAATGAGGGGGGCAGTCTATTATAACCACTTTATTCCTAGCAGTAAGCATGTGGTGTGTCAGAGAATGTTCACTGAATGAGTGAAGGGCGGAAAGAAGGAACAAATGAATGAACCAGAGAGTAAGAAACCTCTGTGTAGCATTAATGTTATAATGCAGTTTGGGTCTGTCTCTCCCCTAAGTTTTTCTTAGAATTAGGATTTAGGCCTAGGCCCAGTGGTGTGAGTGGCAGTGGGAGTTGCAGTTAAAGAACTTGTAGCTGAGGGAGCGGTTTAAGTGGTACAGTAACTACGTAGCAGGTGAGAGACCCTGAGTTCAAATCCTAGAACTGCAATTAAAATACCTTTGGTCATCAGATCAACCATGAACTCTTCATGCTCAGTAGTGCTCCATGCATGGGTTAGAATTGCTTAGTGACTTAAAATGACACTAAGCAATTCTAACCAACATTCATATTTGCCTCTGGATTCTCTAATTTCACATCTGGGGTAGAGCCTAGGAAATCCGTAGGGTTTGTTGTTTGGTTTTGTGGTATTGAGGACTGAATGCAGGGCATCACATATCAGTTAAGCAATTTCCACTTAATACTAAAGTTTGAACTTAGGGCTTTATGATTGCTAGGCAGGCACTCTACCCTAATTAAGCCACACTCCTGGCACTAAAAAAAAATCATCTCTGGGGTTGGGGGTGTAGTTCAGTGGTAAAGTGCTTGCTCAAGCATGCTTCAGGCCCTGTTGATCCCCTACACTAAGTAAAAAACCAAACAGCTTGTATTGGTTATGATGTGCAGAACCACTGAGCCAGCAGCTCTTGGGCCATGTGGTTGAATACCTGTGTTCCCCTGTATTCTCAGGGTACTTTGGGAGAGGGTAGGTAGGGTAGGAAAGACTGTTGACAGAATGGGAAAGCTGAAGAAGCTCTAAGAGGTTAGCTAACTTTTTTTTTTTTTTTTGGTCGGCCGTGGGGCTTGAACTCTGGGCCTGGGCGCTGTCCCTCAGCTCTTCAGCTCAAGGCGAGCACTCTACCACTTGAGCTACAGCGCCACTTCCGGCTTTTCTGGTGGTTATTGGAGATAGGAGTCTCACGGTCTCTCCTGCCCGGGCTGGCTTTGAACCGCGATCCTCAGATCTCAGCCTCCTGAGTAGCTAGGATTACAGGCGTGAGCCACCAGCGCCCGGCGAGGTTAGCTAACTTGATGGACCTGTGTCACTCAATTCATCTACAACTTAAGCTATCATCCTGAGACATTCCCTGTACCCAATCTAGGATTCAAACTTGTTTTTTTTTTTGGGGGGGGGGGTCCGGTCGTGGGGCCTGAATTCTGGGTCTGGGCGCTGTCCCTCAGCTCTTCAGCTCAGAGCTAGCTCTCTACCACTTGAGCTACAGCACCACTTCCGGCTTTTTTCTTTTTGCTTATGTGGTGCTGAGGAATCGAACCCAGGGCCTCATGCATGCAAGGCAAGCGCTCTACCACTGAGCCACCTTCCTAGCCCCTCAAACTTGTTTAATTGACAATTCCTAAAAATGAGATTTAGAAGACTGTACACACAAGTACACAAGTTTTAGAAGGGGTTATTTTCATATTGGTCAACACTGTCCCCACCCACAAAAGGGCTAGATCTTGGAAGAGGTTGAGATCAGAAATCAAGCCCTCCAGTTCTGTCCTAGAGGTCTCTGGGGGTATCTGTGCCTGTAGTCAGGAGATCTCTGGGTTTACTTCTGGGCCTCCCAAACCTGGAGGGTAGAAACCGGTGTCCCAGAGGAACATGAGGCAGTGTTTACTACCTTCTCCAGAGTCTCACAAGGTTGACTCATTGCAGCTGCAAGGCAGGTAGAGGCCTTGCGTTGGACTTCAACTTCCCAAACAGTAAAATTGGGTCTGAGTGTTTAAATCTCTCCAACCCTCTGGGCTTGGAGCCCAGATTCTGGGCACCCCAACTGGAAAGCCTTATTGGATCACTCCTGGGGAGAGAACATAGTAGCAAGTTGAGACTAAGGACCTACAGAATTGCTTATCTGAGCCTCTTGCATTGCCCTGGGATTGCTTGTTCTCCTTGAACCTCAACTCAGGGTTGGGGTTTTAGTTCCAGACTGGCCCTGTATTTTGAGCCACTTGAGCTAAATTCAATAAATGTGTATTAGGCACTTGCTAAATTCAGGCAGGACTTGAGGGGTTTCCAAGTCTTCTGGAGAGATAAAAGGACACACCAATCTTTTGTCATTGGTCATGCTCTCAAGGATGGAAACCAAGAGTTATGATGTCCAGATGGAACCCCAACAGAATTTGCAGTTGCAGGAGAGAAATATTGGCACCTAAAAGACAAGCTAGGTAATTGAATAAGAGGTGAAAAAGTGTTTTATCAAAGGGAAATGACATGGTGACTTGAAATCACAAGTTGTGCTTGGAGAACTAACTTGTTTTATTATCAGACGTCATAAAAGAAATGTTGTTACATGTGGGTTCCATCCCTCACCTCTCAGCCATTCTTCAATCTCTGGCTTCTCAATTATTCCTTTGAAAAGTGATTTTTTTTAAAGATCACTCATAGATTCCAAGTTGCCAAAGCCAGTGTTTTGGGTTTTGTTTTGTTGTTTCTTTGCCAGGAGCCATTTGAATATTTATAACATCATCCATAGGCCTAGTTGACTGAATTTTTGCGTTGAAAAAAGGCTCCTAGATTTATTGAATTTTGAGCCCTGTCAGACATTTCCCAATCCTAGAAGAGGATGGGCAGAAAAAATGTATTTACAAAATGAAATCAAGGCTGGAGACATGGCTCAAGTGTGGCTTGCCCACCTAGCAAGCTTAAGGACCCTGAATTAAAACCCTGGTACTATCTAAAAAAAATAAAATAAAATAAAACCACAAGACCTGAAACTGAGTGTATAAAAACAAAAGTGCCAACCTGAATCCTTGGTTTGAGTGCACAGTGGTAGCACAGTGAAGCATTTATGGGAAGAGGAAAAGGTTTGGGAGATGGAAAGATGTTGCAATCAACTTGAGTTAGTAGAGTCGGAGACATCTAGATTTCTAAGGGGTAACTGGGCCATTTAGGTGGGAAACCCACTGAGAGAGAGAGAGAGACAAGGTGAAGGGGAGCTAAGAGGAAGAATAGGATCCTGATCCTCCTCAGGTCAGCCTCTCCTATGGATAAAATGTTTGCACTGGAAACTTCCATTTAATCCAGCATATATTTATTGGTTCCTGTCATATGCTAGGCCCTGCCTGCTGGTAACACAAATTAATGAGCCTTTGTCCCTAGGTAGGTCACTTTGGGGGTTATAAACAGGAAAGGCCAAGAGAAAAGATAACAAGAAGCACTAGCAAAGCCCACAGAGAAAGTTAGGAAGAAAGAATTGTTTCAGAAATTGAAGGGTTTCCTGGAGTGGGTGACTTTTTAGCTAGGCTTTAGAATGTTGGTAGAAATCTAATGGGGTTGAGAGAGGACAGGAAGTACATTCTGGACCCTAACCATTTTCTGAGCATCAGTCCCCAGCTCTGTGATATTGTGGAGATAATGCCTGCCTTAAGGATCAGAGAATAGGGCTGGGAATGTGGCTCAGTGGTAGAGTGCTTGCCTAGCATGCATGAAGCCCTGGGTTCAATTCCTCAGTAGCACATAAACAGAAAAGCTGGAAGTGGTAGAGTGCTAGCCTTGAACAAAAGCAGCTCAGAGACAGTGTCCAGACCCTGAGTTCAAGCCCCAGGACTGGCCAAAAAAAATAAAAAAGGATCAGAGGCTATGACACATGTGAACAGTCTTTTCAGACCTGCTACCCAGTAGATGCTTGATAATAGTTACTCTAGCTACTTTCCAGCTGTACCTTTCATTTCCCTTCTTTCTTTGCAACCCATTTATTTCCTGCCTGAGTCTTGACTATATTCTTCCTGTGACTAGGAGAAAAGAGAAATCCATTATGTTTTTCCAAGAGAGCCCGCTAGACTATTAAGGGAAGTTTGGTGCTTTGGGGAAATTTGGAGCAAGGTAAATCAGGTCAAGGGAAAGAACATGATTGCAGGGAGTTCAAGTTTTAGAAGACAAGGTCCATGGGATTTTCTGGGAGGGGTCTAGAGGAGAATGGGGTGGGAGTGGGGGGTCAAACCCAGACCAGGTAGTTCCTAAGCAGCTGATGAGGCTGGACTCCCCAGGTACGTGTCTACAGCCCGTACCAAGACTACTACGAGGTGGTGCCACCCAACGCCCATGAGGCCACTTACGTCCGCAGCTACTACGGACCTCCCTATGCAGGTAAGTCCCCTGCCTGCCCATTCCTTCACCAGGCCCCTCCTACAGCCCATCAGTCTGGACCCTTATATTCATGGATTTTCTTAGGCAGGACCCTTCACAAACCCTTCCCCATCTTAAGCCTCAAAATGGCTCTCCCTACTCCAGAACTGACCTCATCTGTCTCCAAGTCCTAACTTAGACTGATGGCTTAGTAAAACTGTTCCTGAGCTGGCAGCGACCCCTGGTGGCTAATATGGAGAACCGCCGCGTCCTTACTGCTCCGGTGGTCACCCTCAGGGGTGGGTGGTGGTGCTCGGAGATCCTGGGTTCCCCCCCCTCCGCCCCCACCCACTCGTGGGTTCTCTCTGCAGGCCCCGGCGTGACGCACGTGATAGTGCGAGAGGATCCCTGCTACAGCTCGGGCGCCCCGCTGGCCATGGGCATGCTCGCCGGGGCTGCCACGGGCGCGGCGCTCGGCTCGCTCATGTGGTCGCCTTGCTGGTTCTGAGCCCTGGGACCTCACCCTGCGTGTGTACACCGCTAGACCCCATTTCCTCCTGAATCCCATCCTCTAAGCCTTGTCTCATGACGGCCCTCTCTGCATTTAGTCCCTTCTGGGCTTGGCTCGCCCCACCTATTCCTTTCTCTCTTCACCTCCCACCACCAAGGAAGCTCTCCTCTCAGGCAAGTGCATGGCTACAGCCGCCACATACCCCCAGAAACAACGTATGACCTTGTTTCTTACACAAACAGCAACGTAACTTCATATGGTTCCAAATTCTTCAGGCTCTGGAGACATGAACAGGCTAGCTGTTCTGTCCTGGGGGGTACTCCAAGCCTGGTAAGGAAAAGAGGAATAAACAAAGAAGCTGCATCAGTGCTTTGCCCCTGGGACGTGCTGGGCAGGGAGCAGGACAGCTAGGCTGGGAATACTGCTTTTGCCACGAGCACTGTGGCATGTTCAAGGAATTAGAGGAATTCAGTTGGGCAGTCAGATCACCGTGACCTTCTAGACTAACAGCTTGCTGAATAAAGGGGATATAGGCTCTTATGGAGGGATGTTTTGTGATCACGGCTACAATAAATATTTTGCTGTTTGTGTTAGGCCTGCAGTCTCTATACCCTTCTCACTACCAAATTCTCTAGTCCCGTTTCCTATGACAACAATTGAGCTGAATCTGGTGGCTCTTGGTTAGGGAACAGGTGGACTGTGTTTTGAGACCATTAGCCTTAGAAGAGGCCTCCATCAGGGAATGCCTTTCTGATTCCAGGAGCTCAGTCCTCTGACACCATCAAAGCTGTCTTTTCCCTTACTCCGGGGAAGATGGATTTTTTTCCCTGTAGGGCCTGACTCACCTTTGTTCCAGCCTGGGGGATCCCTCATGTGCCTGCCTTTAGGTGGCCCAGCAGTCTCCTCCTAGACTTTCCCCCTTCCCATCTTAAAGCCAATAGAAATGCTAACATCCTTGCCCACTAAAGTTCCCTTGTAGATGGGGGCCCCATTGGCTCAGCTGCAGAGACTAATAAAGATGTGATTGGCTCTAGAACTGGCTTTGGCTTGTTTTGTTCCTCCAGCAGGCCCTAATTTTCCAGGACATCTGTGACTTAGCATCTTCTAGTACCCTCTGGTACAGTGACTACCAGGATAGATTCTGAGGTTGGTGGGTCTTGTGAAAGTATGTTAGCTGAACAATCTCAGACAAGTCACTTTACATTCCCAAACCTTTTTTTTCTACTGGTAAGGTGGCTCAAGAGAAGCTATGGCAGACTCTCCGATGCCTGAGCTGATGGAAAACACTGGGATACATAACTGAGATGTCTAGGGACTCAAACACTGTCATTTAAATTCTGGTTTGTTTCGTCTTTATAGGGCTGGATTTTGAGCTGAGATTAAGGATCTGGGAGGTTCATGACCAGCCAATATAGATTTTCTTCCTCAAAGTTCTAGACCTGAGAGTCACCAATGCAAATTTGTTCCTATAGACATCCCTGAATCAATTATGTTGGTCTGAATGAGGGCCCAAAACAGGGCTTATATCAGATTGGAGTGGTGTCCCAAATGCAAATTAGAGCACTGAAATAGGACTAACAGATAAGAACTGATTGGCAAAGATATCAGGGGTCCACTCCAGTCCAGATACACCAACTTTGAGGGAAGACAGTGACGATTGAGCAAGGGCAAAGAACAGGGTATAGTGGGTGCTCTGTAGAGGAAAGATCATGCCCTGCCAAGGAAATTTAGGAAAGCTTTGGCACAAAAGTGGAAATTCACCTTGATCCTTAGAGTAAGGGTTTGGCGATCAGAACTGAGACCTTTTTTAGCCAGAAAGTGGAAAGAATCAGTTGAGCAAAGTCCCTACAAGGCCTGAATGTGGTAAAGTTCAAGAATCAGTCTCCTGTCACAACAGTTTACACAGAGGAGGGATGGTAATGCTGGGTTCTAGCAAAACTCATGGACCAGACTCATAACCATAGAGCACATAGGCCAGGAAGTGGCCCCAACAGAGGCAGAAACATGGATCCATCAGCCTTGTAAGAACCCAAGGTCTGTGAGCACCTGAAGAACCCTGTGTTCTCAGGATCCAGTAGTGGATTAAATGCAGGCCATGTTTTGGAGCTTCAGAAACGCTTAGTTTAGTGTTATCACCATTAAACCATCTCTGAGGCTGGCTTGGAGAACAGGACTACTCTCTGGGGCTCAGTCTCAGGGCTATCTTAGGAGAATCTGTGTGTGTGTGTGTGTATCCTAAAACTTGAACCCAGGGCCTAGACACTGTCCCTGAGCACTCTTTTGCTCACGGCTAAATTATCACTACAATTCAGAGTCTCATGAACTTTCCTTGATCCTCAGACCTCATCCTCCTTAGGATTTCAGGCATGTGCCACCAGCACCCAGTTAGATGTCTTTTTATTATTATTAATATTATTTAATATGTAGGAAGAGTCTAGGCTGAGCCATCCAGATTTCTTCCCATGAATGTGAGTTCAACAGGGTTAGGAAGCTGCTGGAGAGGGCACTCATCTTCCCTCCCAGAGTTTCTCCTACTTGAGTTTATCTTGTAGGTCCTAACAATACTTTGGGCCAGTTGTCACAAACAGCTGCAAAGAGGGAAAACAAATTGATCAGTCTTGCATGTTGGATCACAATCTGTACTTAAATCAGGACACATGACCCTATCTAACCTACTACCCTGTTTGTGCGGTGTAAATCCCACATGGCTCCTTACCTGGTACAACAATTCCCAGAAAGGAGATCAGGGGCCCCTGGAAGACAGCCAACCGTATGGCAAGAACAACTCTTCCTTTAGTAACTCCTTTCCTAAGGAGCCCCTATGGACATTCAGAGCTGGGAACTGCCTACTAAATGAATGAGACTAAGGAGTTGTGTGTCTGTTTCAGAATGGGCAGAACTATGATCACATGGTATCATCAGGCTGGTGACAAATAGGATCCCGGAGGCTTTGGACACAAAGAAGCCCTTAACACCCAGGTGTGGGACAAAGTGAGGTACAAAAGGCTGAGGGAATGATTGTCTTAAGTTGGTTCAAAAGGTAAATGTTCTTCAAACTATGCTGTGATGGGGATTACTGACTTTAGGTAAAGAAGAAACAGAGACCAAAGCAGCTCTTGGTCATTCCCATTAGGAGTTTACTGGATAAGACTAGATCTACAGGGGCATTAGAGGGAGCTAAGGGTAGATAAACACATCAGCAGAGATATATGGTAAAAATAAGATAGCTTCTTTGACAATTGGTGTTGGGAAAACTGGATATCCTTATGTATAAAACTAAAATTGGATCCCTGTTTACCATGCACCAATATAAAATCAAATACCTCATCCAACCTGAAACTCTGAAACTTCTGCAAGATGGAATAGGAGAAACATTAGAACTTACAAGGATATGTAGGATTTTTGTGTGTGTGTGTGGAGGGGGGGTTGGTCATGGGGCTTGAACTCTGGGCTTGGGCTGCTGTTGTCCCTGTGCTCTTCAGCTCAAGGCAAGTGCTCTACCACTTGAGCCACAGCGCCACTTCCAGTTTTCTAGTGGTTTATTGGAGATAAGAGTCTCATGGACTTTCCTGCCCGGGATGGCTTTGAACTGAGATCCTCAGATCTCAGCCTCCTGAGTAGCTAGGATTATAGGCATGAGCCACCAGCACCTGGCCTGTAGGAATGTTTTGAAGATCCCTGAGGTACAGCAAATAGGAGAGACTTGACAAATGAGGTTACATCAAAATAAAGTCTCTGCATAGCAAAGGACCTAGTTATTAAATGAGAAAGATGAACTGGGAGAAAATCTTCATCAGCAATACATCCAACAAAGGCCTAGTATCCAAAATATACAATGAGCTCAAAAAATTAACAACCTCCAAAACTAATAAACCAATCATGAAATGGGAAAAGGAGCTTAAAAGAGATTTCTCAGAAGAAAAAGAATGGCAAATAGACATATGAGGAAATGGTCAACGTTCCTGGCAATGAAGGAAATACAAATCAAAACAACTTTGAGATCATAGACTGGCCAACATCAAGAATTCATGTCGGTGCCTCACGCCTGTAAACCTAGCTACTCAGGAGGCTGAGATCTGAGGATCGCAGTTCAAAGCCAGCCTGGGCAGGAAAAGTCTGAGAGACTCATCTCCAATTAACCACCAGAAAACCAGAAGTGGCACTGTGGCTCAAGTGGTAGAGCACTTGCCTTGAGCTGAAGAGCACAGGGACAGCACGGCCCAGGCCCAGAGTTCAAACCCCATGACTAAGCCCCCCTAAAAAAAACACTCTGGAAGACAATTTGGAGGTTCCTCAAAAAACTAAATCTAGAAGTTTTCTAGTCATACCACTCTTGAACACGTACTCAGATCATTACAAGTCAGGATACAGTAAAGGAACTTGCACATCCATGTTCACTGCTGCATTATTCACACAATAGCCAAGTTATAGAAACAGTCCAGTTGCCCTACAACAGATGAGATTAATAAAATGTACACATTCATACACATATAAAATGTATACAAACATACATACACAAATGATGGAATTTCATTCATTCATTAGAAAGAATAAGATGGTCATTTGCAGAGAAATGGATGGACCTAGAATAAATCATACTAAGTGAGGTAAGCCAAGCTCAAGAGACAAATGGCACATTTTCTCTCATATATGGAAGTTACAGTTAAATATAACTGGACATGATAAACTATGAAGGACTCTAGGCATCCACATACAGTCAGACTAAAGGAGGATATCCTTAGGGATGAAACCTAAAGGTGTAACTTCTCCATTTAAAATACTATTTACAGAAATGAACTCCAGAAAATGTAAATGTGGGGTTTCTTTTGTTATTGTTGGTGATGGTAGTGGCTTTTTTTTTGAGGGGGTGGAGGTGGTAAAGGGGAGGCATGCACAAAGGAAGGGAGGAAAAGTAAACAAATGCAATCATGCTATTCAGCATGTATTATGTGGAAAACGGCCTATGCAGGGATGGGAGGAGGAAACTAAGGGAAAGCAAAGGAAGGGGTGATACTGTTAAAAAAGAGAAATGTGCTTATTACCTGATATATGAAATGGTAATGCCTCTGCAGAATACCTTAATAATAACAATAAAATTATTATTTTTTAAGCCACAATCTTTCAGAATCGAATCTCCTCATCCCCTAAAACCATGGCTTGAACTCAGGACTTCATGCTTGCTTGGCTTTCTTGCTTGACTGCCATTCTACTTGAGCAATGACCCAATCTTTCTTTATTCTGGAAAACTGGAAAGTCTCACAAACTTTTCTGGCCAAGCAGACCTTGAATTCTGATCCTCTAGATCTCAGCCTTCTGAACCACCATGCCTGACTCTTCAGAGTAACATTTCATTATTTTTGCTATTATTCTATTTCTTAGGAGCAAGTCACTAGGTCCAGTCTGTTACAGGCTTATACTCACAGAAAAATCCAAAGCAAAGTATTGTACACAATTGTATTTGTGATGCCTTTTTTTTTTTTTTTTCCATTGTGGGGCTTGAACTCTGGGCTTGGGCACTGTCCTTCAGCTCTTTAGCTCAAGGTGAGCACTCTACCATTTGAGCTACAGCGCCAATTCCAGTTTTCTGGTGGTTAATTGGAGATAAGAGTCTCATGGACTTTCCTGCCTAGCCTGGCTTTGAACTGTGATCCTCAGATCTCAGCCTCCTGAGTAGTTAGGCATGAGTTACTGGCACCCAGCTTGTGATGCTTTTATTTTTTATTATTTATTTATTTGTCAGTTGTGAGGCCTCAACTCTGGGCCTGGGCATTCTCCTTGCACTCTTCAGCTCAAGGCAAGTTTTCTACCACTTGAGCCACAGCGCCACTTCTGGCTTTTTCTGTTTATGTGGTGCTAGGAATCAAACCTAGGGCCTCATGCATGTGAGGCAAGTGCTCTACCACTGAGCCACCTTCCCAGTCCCTTGTGGTGCTTTTATATGACTGGTAGCCCAGAACACTTATACTATCCATCACCACAAGTGAAGATGTGTTGTGCTACATTATACTGATAGTATATTTTAGCTCTATTATA